ATACACTGGTATACAAAAGATGAAGGAAGATGGGCTGAGGAGTGGTTCACATAGCAAGACTCATGTATGCATGCCTGCATTTATTAATTCATGCACTCAATAACTGTAGGAGTACTCACTCCAGACCAGCTAATGCTGAGAAACTATAAAGATGAAAAGACATAAATCCCTGCTCTCAGGGTGTTTACAGTCTGGTGGAAAGACAAATCTGGAAATGGAACAGCACACTAAGAGAGGAAAGGTCACCTACTAACTGCTTTACAGCAGTGATACTAAGATGAAACGTGGAGGATCAGCAGGCATTTGTCAGATAGCCTGACATGGGAAGGAATGGTTTTCTAGGTGGACTTTTCAGAACACACAAAGGCCCTAACGTGCAGCCAACTCTTCTAGTTGACCCTAAACAATTTACATGCACATCTGGGATTTGGAAAGAGTAAGACGTACAGACACATCGGGCCTCTTGCCTCACATTCCCAGTTCAAGTACACTCCTGGACACATCTGCACCTTACCATAGGTGATGACAAGCAGCACGAAGTTGAGGTTTTTGAAGAGCCGGACGATGGAACTTAAGTACGAAGCATCAGGGGATGCCAAGGCATAGCTCAGGGATTGGGCCCTGCTGGGAGGATGTTTAGGCTTCTCCTTGAATACTGAAAGGAAAGAAACAGAGAGATCACTGCACATCCCTGTGGTCCCACCCCAGCAAAGCTGACAGGTGGACGAGAGCTGGCTCCCCCACCTGAAAAGAAGCTAAGACTCAAAAGGAAATAGTAATTCTTCAATTAACTCATTTACAGTTTCCTCTGCTTTTCATTGTCTGTGGCTGATTACTTTTTCTTAATGGCCTCTGTACAGCTACCATCCCTGGGCCTCTCGGGCAGTGTTCAAGGATCGAGCAGTCCCATGATAACCATTACCATACCGCAGAGAACCAAAAAATATATAACAGTAACATTTGGACGGAAAGGAAGTGAGAGCTGAGGCTTTGGGGTTAGTGGCTTAGCACCCGAGCTCCTCCCAAGGAAGGAGAAGCTACAATGTCGACGCTCAACACAAGGCCTGGCACAGTAAATATTCCCTGAGTCAGTAAAAGGATCTTCTTCTATTGGAGAACCCCGGAGCCCATCACTGGTTTCTCAATGTCTGAATCGGACACAAGAGGATTGATTACACAGGCTCTGGTAGGAGTGGCTACTCTGATATAAAGGGCTGGCTAGGGAGGGAACAGCGGGAGAACAATTCATTTTATATTCTATGTCCAGTACAACTGGTATAGTCCACTTAACTGCACTGATCACTATTCAGTTCCCAGGGGAGCAGATCAGTTTAACCAGTTTTGTTTTGTTTTTATTATTAAACTGCCCCCAAACTAGGTCCAAGCAAGCACCATGTAGCCTCCCCCACACCCTAGAAGAACCCTCCTTTGTCAGTTAGAGGAAGCTCTGGAAATGAGGTTTAACGTCTTGAAGATCAAACTCTTCCCTCCCTCNACTGTATGGCTCCAGAGTCCTTGCTCTTCATCAGTCTGTTTTACACCCTCACAAAACTGTCTCAGCCATTTCCCCAGCTCAGGTTACTGACAATTTCCTTCCATCCCAACCTCTTCCAGGGGGTCACCTCAGGGATGCGATGCAACAAGTCTGGGCTCAATGTCACCTTCTGAGTGGCACAGGGCCACAGTGAGTTGGCAAACCACGAAGTGTCACCAAAAGTCACTACAACTGCCAGGCCAATGGGTATGAGGACCTTGTTGACATTAGGACATCCAAACCTGTAGAGAACTTGTATAAAAATTTATTTGAGTCAAACAGAAGATGAGCCTGGGAACAAGATCTCAACACAGAGAAAAATGCTTCAGAAAATAACAGTTTGCAGTTTCTTTTATGCATTTGAAATTAAGGAGGAAAGTAAGGAAGATCACATAAAGGTGGGAGAAAGCAAGGCGGGAATCGGATTACAGGATAGTTAAAATTATGTGCTCTTTTGAGGGTGGTCATGCTTTCGAAGGAGAGGTCTGAAAGGGAGCATTTCAAAGGTGCGCTAACCTAGATGCCCAGAAACAATGGACAGGGCTGCTTAAGGCAAAGATAAGCCTCTACTAAAGAAGTTACATGCCAGGGGCATGACTACTCACCATGACCTGCCCACTTAGGAATTTAGGATCAGATCACCCTGTGAGGGTACTCTCCATAGAACCCCTTTTTCCTCCACAACTTTAAGGCTCTCAGCAACTTCTCACCCAACAAGCATACCCAATTAACCCTCATATCACACACCCAGCCACTTGGCAATTCCATTCCTAAGTCAAGAGGGCCCACAAGGAGACATTCCTGAAAGGGGTGGTGGGGTGGACTGTGGGCAGGGAGAGGGATGAAAGCGGCCCCCAGTCCTGCTCCTCACACTTCTCTCGGCCCCTCTCAGCCTCTGGCCAGTGCCTCACACTGCAAGGGGCAAGGGAACACTCCAAGGGATGCGCAGCTTCAGGCGGGAAGGCTTTTCTCAGCTTGGGGCCCAACTGGATGAAGGAGGAGGAAAGAATCCACAGGAAACAGAGGGAAATTATCCGGGAGGACTGGGTGCAAAAACCCCACCTCAAACACCAGCATTTTTGTGACTCTTGAAGAGGCAGAGGAAGCTGAGTCCTCAGCTGGCTGACCTGTGCTACCGAAGCCAAACACTTTCATGGGGGCGCGTGGTAATGGTTCCAGATCAGCACCACTGGGGAGCTTGCTAGAAATGCAAATTCCTGACCCCACCCCAGACCTATGGCAGCAGAAACTCTGGGAGTGGGCAATCTGTGTGTGAACAAGCCCTCCAGGTAATTTTGATAGTGCTCAAGTTTGAGACCCACTCGTTCAGCTAGACTAGTGTGGTTGGTACATCAGTAGCCATCCCCGGTTCCCAGGCAGCCAGGAGACTGGTTCAGGGCTAAGGCACGGAGTGGGGCGGGGTAGAGGGGCTCACTGTGAAAGGCTGCCATTCTTTCCAGCTGTTTCCACAGTCCAAGCCTAGAGGATTTAGGAGTTTATGTATGGTTTATGAATCAACTTTTACTCTAGATGTCCCTCCCCGTAACGTTGAAGGTTACGAGACACGGTTAAACAGCACAAGTCCACACCACTGCCCCAACCAAGGGGTGCGGTGTCCCGCACTGAAGGGCAGGAATGGAAGACATGCCCGGCCCTGTGCTGAGTACCGCTGACAGGAATACAGGTTAGTGTGCTGTCTTTGGGTCTGATGATCCCCAGCAAGGTAAGCCAGCCGGATCAGGGCCATACCCCTGTGAGAAAATGTGATCTTCCCTAAGAGGCCTGGTCATTCCCGGTATCGGTCACCCAGTACTAGTCACTGAGGAGGTGGGCTTTACGAAGGCAGGAAGGATTCATCATCACTCTGAGCCTCTTTCTCTCTTCGGTCAAAACCAACTGGTCCAGAGACCACTGGCATTAGAAGTCCTGAGAGTTCAAAAATGCAGATTCCTGGGCCCTACCATGGGACCACTCTATCTGAAATGTCGTGCAATGGGGCTAGGAAGCTGCATTTAAAACAAACAGACAAACAAACAAACAAACAAACTCCCTGAGTATTTCTTAAACTCACTAACGTTTGGGAAAAAAATGGCCTTGGGAATACTGAAAATCAAAGACCAGGCCCAGGTTGGGTGGTGGACTCAACATGGAGGAGGCAGCTGGGGTGGGCAGAGACTTCAAGACCATGAGAATGACCCATAACACACCTATTTTAGAGGCTCTCAGCCCAGCTGCAAACCAGAATCGCCCCGAATGCTTGTTAAAAGCACATTTCCAGGCATCGACCCAGACTTCCTGATTTGAATCTCCTGAGGAGAGGCATGGAAATCGACGCACTCATTCAACTAAGCACTCCAGGGAATTTTATCACCAGGCAAGCCTGGGAAACACTGATCCCAGATCCAATCTCTGGGCTCTGGTTACTCTGTGTTCGTTTCCCTTTTGTCCTTCCTGAACTTGCAGTCAACCCTTGTTTTAAAGGGCCAGCCTGACCTCAGCAAAGCTCCAGGGAATCACGAGGATTTTATACCCACTCTTAAGCCAGGATCTTAGAGGGGGCACAAAATGCCCTCCATGGAAGTGGGGCAATGGTAAAGCCCCCGAGAGCCCCAAGGGAAGGTGTCCTGGGGACACATGAGGCTCTGGGTTTAGATACCTAACACTGGGAGATGATTCGGAAGCGCTGGAGGCGAGGCTGGGTGAGAACATGGAAAAGTATTCCCTTAGAGGACATTCTTTAGAAGAGCAAAATTTTCAACAATTCTTTTTAACGAGCAGTTGTTACACCACCGCCAGAGATGAAAAGACATTTTCTTCACCCCATTCCCACTGCTGATGTACATCACAAGACCAGCCCTACCCCAGACTCTGTTAGACCCTGGGAGAACCTAGTTTCAGCCTGTATCTTCCTGCATTGCCAAACCTGGAGAAGGGAGGGCAGTTTACTAGAGGAGGAGGCAGTTTCTTATTCCTGTGATAGTTGGGCAACATCAAACACAACCTCTGCACCTCCTCCCCTCTAAGTTGGGCGGCCAGATTTAAGGAAAACAAACAAACAAACAAAAAACAGCACACCCGGTTACACTTGAATTTCAGACAAACAATTTTTAGCATAAATATGCCCCAAATATCAAGTAGGACATGTTTATACTAAAAAAGAATTTGTGGTTGATCTGAAATTCAAATTTAACTGGAGGATCCTTATTTTATCTCCAAAACCTACCTCTAAGGGTATGGCCAGAGGCCTGTAGCGGAAAGCCAGCAGCACTTGAATGGGCCCTGGAATGCCCTCAACTTTTACAGTCACTGCACCTCAGCTCTGGGCAACTGGCTCAGCAGCTTGGAGAAGCAGCTGAAAAGCCTCTACAGATATAACACTGGACGTCCCACCAGCTGCACGAGAGCTGCTCCCTATTAGGTGCAATCTAGTTCAGACCAACGAAAGAATGTAGGAAATCAGCACGTTTATCAAGGCAACAGCAATGTGGATGCATGCGGTGGCAACAGCAATGTGGATGCATGCGGTGTCTTTATTCTCAATTGCTTTAAAAGCTTTCATTTCCATTCAGAGCATTTCAATGGGAAGCAAATATTATTACTATTTTCTGAGGGGGGTAATTCGAGAGACAAAGGATGAGTAAAGGTGGTACATTCAGTAATTGGCAGAGCTGACACCAAAACTCAGACCTCCCATTCCTTAAGAGCCAACCCTCACTGGTCTGGTATTCAAGGATTTTACTCCAAGGCATGCCCACCCGTGTCTAAAAATTGTCTGTGAAATATTTTCATCTGTGAGATTCCCAGCTATGTGCCCTTACTTCAGAGGAAAATATAAAGATCATATGTACAATATAAAAAGTATGAACCATTTCCTTCTTTAAAGCCCAACCTGAAACTACAGAGAGGGTGGGGATGCTGGAGGACCTGGGGAAAGGGAAAGAGTTCAAAGCATTTAGCTGAATTTATTGAATTTTTTTTTTTAATTTGGAGCAAAGATGGGAGGAGAAAACAGAGGATTTTAGGTGGACTGAGTGCCAAACACTACCTTCATGTGAACTATAAACCTTAAAGAGACTCACTAAGGCTGAGACCCCATCATCCCCAAATCCCCAAGATGGCTG